AGTTAATACTTGATTTAGAAAAAAAACTATTGTTAAAAAATGTAGATCAAGTCAAGTATATATAAATCTGTTTTACAGAGAGAATTAGTAACACCAACCTAACTTAGCAGCTAACTAGATTAGAAAGATCTGCTTCGTGAAATATCTGAGAAGATAGAATACAGAAAACTAGTAGAGAGCTACAGTAGGAACTAAGATTGTACGAATATCTACAAAGATCTAAGCTAGGTGAATTCATAAAATAGGTACAGATTACTCTAGTAGATATGCTTTGAGGTTAACTAGCTTTGTGATACTTATAATATATTAAGTACAATATATCCTGAGAAGACCTAAGCTGTTCTGAATAAATAGATCTGTAACAAGCTAGCTAGCTTAAGCAGTTAAGTGTTGCAGTAATATTAGGTTAGATCTGTATAGGTTAATAAACAAAGTGTTTAAATAGATAACTCATAAGCATGTTACAGGTATGGCAACATAGTATAGAACTAATCAAGTAGTCTAATCACCTGTATAGTAGACTACTTAAAATAGATAATAACTAAAGTTATACATATGGCTTGTTATATACTCTTCATATAATTACAAATAGTAGAAACTATCAATATATATCTTATATGCAATTCTAATAAAATTCCTTCAGCAATATAAGCCACCTTAATAACAAAAAAAAATAAACTAAAATTTACTATATCACCTATAATGAGTAGCATAAAAATTAATTAAATCACTATATATATTTTCATTGATGTAATAAAAAAAAAGTTCTTACATGTTAAAACAAGGGTCTAATTATTAGTATTATCTATATATAATAGCAATATAGTATAGGAAAAAACTAATTAATAAAACTATATTAAAATACAAGTATAACAAAGGTAATATTTTAATCAATTAGGAATTACTGATAATTAATTTAAAGATTATTTAGATTCTTCTTTATACCTCTAGTATTTCTACTTCACTCTACCAAAGTATAGAGATACTGTTTTTTTTTTTTTTTTTTTTTTTACTTTATACAAATACCATCAGCTAAAACTTTTATTAATATTGATAGTAAGTAAATGATACATATTGTGAGAGTACAACTAGCCATACGTACAACTTTAGATTATCTAATTTAAGTAGTCTATCCAAAGGTTCTATACTAGCTACTATACCTGCAATCTATTTGAAGATTACCTATTTAAACTCTCTGGTCCTATGATATTTACTTGTATTCTATCTTTATTTTACCAAAGTTCACCTAACCTTATACTACTTCTCCTTTTGGAAGATATCTAAGCTGATATTAGTTCACAAACTTTATGATTCAGAGCCTAGGCTCTATTACAAGGTATCTCTTCACCAACTCCTTAATCAATAAGGTGCTGTAGTACCTAACTATGCTATGCTATATCCCAATTTAGCTTGCATATATCCTTGTTTGATGTTCATACAAACCCAGTTTCTACTATATTTTCTACTAGATTAATATCTGTACCTCTAGATATTACATGAGATAGGCTCTCCCAAATCTGGTTATCACTCAGATTAGTATTACTGAAAGTCATCTATGTCTTCAGATATTACACAGAACAAATCCTCCCAAATTCAGTTAGCTACTAAGCCAAGTTAGTGTTGCTGTATAATATCATATAACAGACTTATGCGTACCTATTCTGCTAATTTTTTTGTACATAGATTTCCTAACAGACTTACTCATATCCTAGTTACTGATCTTTTCATATATAGATTTTTCTCTTTAGATCAAACGTTAACTAGTATGACTGTTAAAATTCATACTACTTCACCTAACTTAGAATTTCTGCTATGCAGGTCTCTGTTCTTAGATTTTATCAAGATTTATTCATGTAACATTATATTCCTCAGATACTCTGTTATACTTCCAATATCTGAATAATATTAGTATAACATGATTTACAGAATTACAACTCCCAAAAATAGACAGAGTTTACTGTAAGTTAGATACAGATGTCTAAGTAATTATTTAATTCTGTTAATAGTGGAATTTGGATCCTAAACCTTTTGCATAGCAGTCTGACAACCTAACTACTACACTAAGATTACTAGATCTGATACTACTATTTGAAATATACTAAGTATAATATATTATTATATATAAGCAAAATTATTACTCAAAGAAATTTAAAGTCAGTATATAATATTGAAATATCAAATTTAAAGTTTCAAAAATTAATTATCCATTTATTAATCAATAATATGCATTCAACACAAATTATTAGAATCAAAAATTATTCTATAAATTCTTATTTAATGAAATTTAAAGAAATAAAAGTGAAAATAAAATTCAAATTCATTATATAATATATCTAAGAATTATAATACTAATAGCAATATACATTATTTTGATTAAAATTATTTTTTATAATTAGCCTACTACAAACAACTAGACTATAACTAGAATCACAATAATGCTTTTTGATTTTTTATATAACTTAATATAGAATTTAACTTTCATATCATAATTCCTTTATACTTTTTAATTAATCTTGATCGTAAATTAATGTTTTGATAGTTTTTGATGCAAGATTAGAATAAGAGTTATTAATAATTCTTCCTGCTACACTGAATACCTAAAATAAATATTATAATAATATCATAGCTAATACTAAATTTGGTTAAAGCTAAAGCTAACTTATTAATTATTTGTTAATACAATTAGTATTAAAGATGCAATTTGGATATCTGCTAGTTTAATTTTATAACAAAATTATTATAAAGAATCTGAATATCTATTAAATTTTTAAATAAGAAAACAGATAATGGATTGCATCTCTAATTAGCATTTTAACTTCAGCATTAGCTAAATTCTAGTATTGGCTACAAAATAAATTAATTAGCTTATTTATGTTAATTTATAAATTAAATTTACATAACTAGAATCTTATTATATCTGAAGCTATTGAAGTTATTGGGATGGCAAGAATATCTCTTGTCATTAATAATACAAAAGAGTATCTCATTGCATTTTCTTTCTACTAATCTAGAACATCAAATAGCTTTAAGCAAGAACAGAGAAAAAGAGGATCAGAAAGATATTGTTTGAACTCGTCTATTTTATTAATAATATTGATTTAGTTAGCTACAAGAAAATGGTCAAACTCTTGTATTAAATCATCTTCTTGTAAAAAAATATCTAAAAAATCATAATTATTAGAGAAATATATATTATTCTTATAAGTTGACTTATAAACTATCATATCTCTATAAAAGAATAAATAATAAATTAGTAAAAATTGTGATTTTAAAATATATAACTTCTCAGTTAAAATTTTATTATAGATGAGTAGTATTATATAGATCATATGAGTATCAACAAAAAAAAATCTTGAATCAGAAATAATATTTCTAATTCAAAGTTTTCTCTTGTCAGCACTCATATGTATATAAAATTAATGATTAATAATATGCTCGTCTATACTAAAGTTCACCTAACCATACTAAGATCTCTTTCCTTATTTTAATAGAATTTAACTTGTTATCTGCTTCAGTGCATAACAAGTGTATTTTATATTTATAAATATATATCAATAAAGATATTTTATAATAAGGATCTAAGATTGATATAATGTAGTGTATATTTTTCAGTATTTATTAAACTTAGATTGCATTTTCGTAGCTATTTGACAAATAAAAAGACTAATATTGGTAGCATTTTGTTCAATATTCATCTTAATTTTTACTATATAAGGAAGAAAAATATTTGCTATTAAGTATATACTTTCTGATATAATGTTTGTAACTATTAAACCAAAAAAAATTTTCTATAAAGTGTTAAAAAAAAAATAAATAAAAAAAAAATATGATTACTTTCATAAAATAGTTTCAGAAAATTATATATAATTATAGCCTTTTCCTAATCTATATCAGGAAGCATAATTTCTTCAAAATTAGTGTTTTACAATGTGAGATACTCAAATACATTTTTATAAAGAATAGTAGATGATAGCATTAAGAATACTGAATTCTAATGAGTAGGTATATCAAGAGTTGGTCTTTGACTTGATACAAGCTCAACACAACATCTAACTATAGTATCTTCAAAATTCTGTTGCTAATATTGTGAGTTATAGATTTACTTTACATATTTTCAGATTTTACTTATAATACTTTTAGCCTTTTTGAGACCATCATTAACTATAATATTTAAAATATGAGCATAACATCATTGATGCAATAAAATTCCATTAGTGATAAACATATTTTGTTCTTTAAGCTTTTGCTTTACATTCCTTATTGCAAAATCATTATTATGTATATTATCTATAGTAACTACTAAAATTTTTGATGTAATATTCTATTTATCAAAACACTTTAAAAGCATTTCACTAATTGTAAATCCAATATGTAGTGAAGAAACCATTTTAAATACTATAACTAATTTTCAAAGTTTCTAATTCTTATTTATAAAATAGTATGTAACAACTATATATTCAAGAGTTTGATTAGACATCCACAAGTCTATAGTATAACTTAAATACCCAGGAACCTCTTGTATAATCGTATAGACTTTTACTCTAAAATTATTAACAATATCTATACTATCTTCATACACTGTCTTATCACATACCATTTTAAATTGTAGCTATAAATTATTAACAAACTTTATGAATCCCTTATGTTCAACTATACGAAATAGATATGTATATCTAATAATCATTTCTGTTAAATCTTGGCAGCTTTGTTTTTGAGAAACTTTATAAGTTACAAGGCCTGATGCAGATAACTGCAATATTTGCTGAGACTTATTGGGCTTTACATATTTTTGACATTTTATATTTTTCATAGTAAAGCTATTTTTTATAACAGGATACAGATTGTTTGAATTGCAATATATTGTACTACACTATTATCGTTATAATAAAAATTTAAGCTTTAATCAGGTGATCTAACGTGTAATTGTCTGAACGTGTTGTTTTCGTTTATTGTCTATAAATACAGTACTCTCACATTCTTACCCTTATTTCTGCGTTTTAATGTCATCGAGAATTCTTAAGGTAGCTTTTGTACATCCCGATCTCGGTATAGGTAAGTCTCAATCTTTTGTATTTGGACCGGTAATGTTAGTTGTGCTTAATCGAATTTTTGTTCCAAGGAGGGGCAGAACGTCTCGTTGTCGACGCTGCTGTCGGTTTGAAAGTCAAAGGTCACAATGTAGTTATTTATACTTCTCATCACGATCGTGACCATTGTTTTGAGGAAACCAAAGATGGTTCGTATCGGCATAATTATGTATATTGCCGTTGTCATACGTATAATTTCCTTATTAAAGTTTTTTTTAGGTTCACTTGAAATTAGAGTACGCGGAAATAATATTATTCCACGTACCTTTTTTGGATCTTTTTACATTATATGTGCAATTTTACGACAATTACAACTTACCGCTTCTTTGATTTTGAGAGATAAAGACCAATTCGATGTTATATTTGTTGATCAATTATCTGCTAGTATTCCATTTTTAAGATTGACTGGTGCAAAAGTAATTTATATTCTCTCATATAATACATGGATTACATTACTGTCTTAGTATTAATTTTTTTTTTCCTCTTTTTTTTTGAAAAAAAAAAAAAAGATTTTATTTTATTGTCATTTCCCGGATAAATTATTAACGAAACGCGAATCAGTTTTAAAAAAAATTTATCGATATCCTGTTGATTTACTAGAAGAGTTGACGACCAGTTAGTGCCATATTTTAAAATATTCAATATTAATTTAATAATAATAATAATTAATAAATATAATAATAGACATGGCGAATTGCGTGGTTGTGAATAGCAATTTCACATCAAATGTGTTTCACGAATCTTTTCCAAACATAAGAAAGGTTCCTCAAGTTCTTTATCCTGGCATACATTTCGATGCATATGACAAAAAAGTGGATGTTGATGATATTTATATTAAGATTTTAGAAAGGTAATTTCAGTTTCATATAATTTCCTTTAATATAAATATATTGCTATTAACCTACTATTCTATTATCCGATTTTATTATAAAATAATATATTAATTACTGATTTTAGTTCGAAAATGACAATTTTATCAATTAATCGGTTTGAAAGGAAAAAAAATATTGTACTTGCCATACGTGCCTTTGCAAGGTTACGAGATGACGACATGATATCTGAAGAACAATTTATCAACTTGCGCTTGGTTATTGCTGGTAAACATATATTTTGTTTATATGCAAGCTTTTAAAGAAATACAACTGCAAAAAATAAAAATTCATATAATAATTTAGGCGGCTATGATTATCGTATGCAAGAGAATGTGGAGCACCATAAAGAGTTGGATCGAGTAGCTTTACGATTAGAACTCAAAACCTTTACAATTATACCTGGTTCAACAGAATGTCCACCTGAATCTGCCCAAGTAATCTTTTTGTGCTCTTTTAATGAAGCCCAAAGGACATATCTATTATCAAAGTCACATTGTCTTTTATATACTCCATCAAACGAACATTTTGGAATTGTACCAATAGAAGCCATGTATGCTCGTTTACCTGTGATCGCATGTAATAGTGGTGGTCCAAAAGAAACTATTCAAAATGGTATAACTGGTGTTTTATGTTCGCCTACGCCTCTAGAATTTTCTGAGGCAATTGCAGCTTTTATTTCAGGCGTCTATGATCGTGAAGTTATGGGTGATCATGGGAGAGAACACGTAAAAAAAAAATTTTCTCTGTCTACTTTTGTTAATTCACTTGAGCTCATCTTATTGAAATCTATGCAAGACTCTTCAAGACCAAAACAATTACAAGGCCCTTTGATATGGTTTTCTACTGCTATCACTTTATTTATACTTTTATTATATCGGTACTGTTATTAATAAAATTTGGCTTATTTAGTGCATATGAATGATTATGCCTTAAAGTTTTTGTCCTACCGAATCTAAAATTAAGTCATTTTGTACTTTCTGTGCTTTCTATAATTCGTTAGATATGTTTATCATTTAATCGATATGTATGTACATAGAATTTTTTTTTTTTAGCGTTAGTGTATCTTTTAAAACGTTAGCTATTAGAGTTAATCCACGTGTCACACTTCACATGATGTCGTGTCGCGAAACTACTGGTGCTCATAAATATATTTAATATATTCGCGAAATTTCAAAATTTTTATTTCAAACGTGTTTCCATTTATAAGTATTTCA